TAACGTCAACATCTGCTTTCATTTCAGTCATGCAATCCTTCCGTGAGTACGTACAAGTTGAGCGGCTGGATGGGGAGAACAAGTATGACGCAGGTGATTATGGAATGCAGCCGGCTGAGAAAGGAGTGAAATTTGTTTCATTCCCTCCTGTTCTGCATTTACAGTTGATGCGTTTTCAATATGACGCTACTCTTGACGCAAATGTGAAGATCAATGACAAGTTCGTATAGTAACAAGGATTAAGTGTTGTTTTTGAGCTATTCTCTAAACAGTTTATTTAATTAAGGTTCGCTTTCCCAGACAAATTGTGCCTAAACGAGTTTGTCGAAGGAAATGGCGAGGACTACACTTATTCTTTACATGCCGTACTTGTTCATTCTGGTGATTTCCATGGAGGTCACTACGTCGTTTTTATTAACACTGGTTTGCGACCACCTGGAGAAAAATATAAGCCGAAGGTATGGTTTACTTCAAATTAGAGTTGGGCATTTTTTAGGGGTCCCACCAAAAGAGGTGAGATGAGGTGGTCAACGTGCAATGACACGTTTAAGAGGAAAAAAATACCTTTCGACTAAAATGCTATCCGCTTTGCTCGTGTATAGCTATCGAGCATTCGCAATGTTTTTATGCTCGCCACTGCAACCTGCCGGTGTATGTACCAATCTCCCTATCGAAGATCGGGTGCCTTTTTACAATAGAAAATTAGCTCCCTATCTATGATAGGGAGCTGATTTTTCATTATAAAAGTGCACCCAATCTCGACAGGGAGATTGATACATTCCACCCCCGGTCTAAATGGGATCCCGAGTTCTTTCGTTCGCCAATTTGACACCCGTCCATGCTCACGAATAAGTTCAGCTTATATACTGCATTGTTTGGATTACTTGAAGCTCGGAGCCACGCAAAAAATGTTGAATTATTTAGTGGTGCAAATTCGACGACGACGTGGTATCGCGAGCTACGGTCAGAGAAGCAGTAATGGCTAACTATGGAGGGGATGATGGTGAATCTACTGGAAGGACGTATACGAATGCCTACATGCTTGTGTATGTGAGACAAACTTGTATAGGTACGCATTATTAGTATTTGAACAGCGGTTTTTTCTTAGTTGCCATAACGTTGGTTTGATTTGTTGTTCCAGATGATGTGCTTTGTCAACATGAAAATTTACAAGTTCCTGCGCATCTGGTCCAAAGATTTGAGAACGAAAGAGAAGAGGAGAACAAGAAAAAGAAAGAAAAGCAAGAAGCACATTTGTATACGGAAATTGTGGTATGTTAAAAGTGTTTTGCGGATTTCGTGCATTCTTTAACGGATCAATTACATCCCGTTACATGCTACTGGGACGAGAGTTCTTTTTGATTTTGTTCTCAAATCATCTTTTTGGCGCGATTTTTCCTTGGGAACTTGGGAGTATCAAGATGAGGAAAAAGTCCACTAACAGACACTTTCCAGAGTCTTCAAAGCGATTCCAGCTCTTTGTTTTTCTAGCTTAGTCTGTGTTCTTTTGCGGCCTTGCGTCAACGTCATTTTGAACGCTGCTGTGCAGGCTCTCTCGTGATCAGTGATCCTTTTCGTTTTGTGTATTTGAGTTTATCCTAAGGCGTGATACCGATTATTTTCATTAAATCTGGCCTTAGGGAAATCAAGTGAGCTCGACCGTCCAAAGTATATAAAAGAGGCATATCAATAGATGGCCTTAAAACGTCAAACTCAAGTCTGTCTACATATTTGTGAAACGGTTGTCTTAGAAAGATGGAAGTTTCTTTTTGCGAAAAATGATGTTGCCATTAATTATTTGAAACACATAAAGAACGAAGTAAAAGCAATATTTTGGCTTTTAAGGCTTAGCGACCTGGTTTTTAGTGTGTTGAGCGCGACATATTGAGTTTCCTAGCAATAGATCGCCAGTACAGTTGTCTATCGCGGAAATAAACTTTTATAAATATCTCTGGAGAATCATAGCATATATCCGCAGATTTGAAAACAGCATTTTGAGGCGTCTCTGATACTCTGCCTCTTATTTTGAATGGCCAAGGTCACTAAATGTCTATCCCTT